GCGCTCCGCTACTGGCTGCCGGGGCTCGGATCCTGGGCGCGCACCGACGCACAGCTTGTCGGACCATGCTGAGGCAGCGTCTCACATAGAGCAACTAGAGGGGTGTGCAGCTATGACATACAACTATCTGCTGGGGCTTTGGGGAGAAACGGGGGGGAAAAAAAACAGAGGAAGATTGGCAACAGATGTTAGCTCAGGGCCAGCCTCTTCAGCAAAAAAAAAAACAGGGATTGGCATGGATGTTAGCTCAGGGCTGATCTTCCTCAAAAAAAAAAAAAAAAAGAATAGAATGAGGAGGGACGCCCTCCCACGTTTCATGGCAGAGGAGCCGCGTTGGCAAACGGCCTCCTCCCAGTCGGCGGGGCTCGGGGGAGTGGGGTAGAGCAGGGCACTGGGGCCTTGGGAAACGTTGATGAGCTCTGTTCTGTCATCCTGCCTGTTCATAGTCTTCTGTTCCTGTGACTCGGGATAAAGTAGAACAGGGTTTGAATGGAGATGTGTTCGTATACCCAAGGCGGGCCCAGTTTTTCACATAAGAGCTCCGTTGTCCCCTGACATCCCCACCTGAAATTCTTCAATAACCATCCTTAACAAGAAAGCTTGAGAGAAACCTTCACCTGCCTCCATCCCGGATGAAAGTGACTTAAACTCATCTCTGTTATGTACCCGTCACAGAGGCCCTCGCTCCTCTACAGGACTGGCCCCTCTGGGATGGGGCGGCAGAACCAGGGAGCAGGACACAGCAGTCACCTGTCCAGTCTTGGCTCTGTTCACTGACTCAGTGTGGTGGAAGATGCTATGGGAGGAGCAAGCATAAACATGAGAAGGGACGTGTTTGAGGGGACAGAGGACAGTTATTTGTAGTTCTGTAAGCATGTGTCGAGTGGTTGCTAGGCGCCAAAGCACATGTTAAAAATACATTTGAAATCAATTCGCGTGTCGTCCCAACACTTGCCCTGTGTCCAGTTCCGCCCCAGTCCCCAGACCGAGGTTATGCGGTCTGCCTGTGGTCAGCGTCCTTGGACGTGCGTCCTCACGCAGGGGCTGGCGGATCCGAGGAAGCGTGTGTTTTAAGTGTTAGGGGTGTGTTAGCCTGGCTTCCAGAGCCCCTCTTGGCCACATGCTCCAGCCCCGCGTCTTGTCCCCCGTGCCCCCCCGCTGGGCCCTCTCGGCCTGCGCTGTGCCAGCCTGGGGTGTGTGAGCTGATCGTTACCCCAGTTGGCATTTCCCTAGGGTCTTTTTCAGTGTTTCGTGTCCATTTTGAACTTATTCTTCTGTCAATTGCTTTTTGCCAGTTTGAGGACATTTCTCACAATTAGGTTGCTTATTGTTTTACCAGTTTGTAAAAGTTTTTTATGTATTACAGTCTGAGATTGTGTGTGTGGTGCTCTGCAAGTAGTCTTCCCAGCCTCGTGTCTGTCTGGGGCTGTGCTTGTTGTATCTTTTGCCAAAGACTTGCACGTCTCTAAATACATCTGTTTTGGGGTTTCTTCTCTGCTTCAAAATTCAAAAGGTTTCCCCAAACCATGGGTTTATATACATATTTCTATATACTTTCTTAAATTTTGTTTTCAAGAAATGGTACTACAAGAGTTACATGTCCAAATGCCAAAAAATTAGTGTCAACGCACACCTCAGAAATTAACTCAAAATAGATTGTAGACCTAAATATAAAACGTAAAACCAAAGCCTGCAGAGGAAACATAGGACGGAGTTTTGTGACCTTAAGTTACACAGTGAATTTTCTTTTTCTTTTTCTTTTTTTTTTGGCCTTGAGCTAACATCTGTGCCCATCTTCCTCTGTTTTGTATATGGGACGCTACCACAGTATGGCTTGATGAGCGGTGTGCAGATCTGCGCCCAGGACCTGAACCTGCGAACCCCAGGCCACCGAAGCGGAGAACGCAAACTCAACCACCATGCCACCGGGCCAGCCCCTTTCATTTATGGCCTGGCCCATTTCTTTTATGGATGATACTAATAGTACCATCCATAAAAGAACAAATAACTGTGTCTTGCAAAAGTCATGTTAAGTGAAAAGACAAGCACAAATATGTACCAGCATACACCAAAAATAACTCGTGTCCACAGTGTGTAAAGAGCTCTCAGAAGTGAACGTGAGAACAAGCTGGCAAATGAAAACACGGGCAAAAGATCTGCACAGACACGCTAGCAGAGAAGATCTGCGGGGGCAAACAAGCGCACGGAAAGATGCTCAACGTTGTCAGTCACCAGGAAACGCAAACCAAGACCACAGCAGGTAGAATGGCTGAGGTCATTGGCTAAAACACCAGGCTGGCAAGGGCGGGTGCTGGCAAGGATGAGAGCAGCTGACAGGAGCGTCGGTGCGGCCACTTGGGAAGACAGTTGGGCGGTCTCCTAGAGAGGTAGCTGGCCCAGCCGTGGGGAGCAGTCCCGGGACGTGTTTCTCTCGGCAGCTGTGGGGTGGGGGCTGCTGTGCGCTCGGCTGCACGTGAACACAGGAGAGTTCGAGTCACATTCATGTTCCTGTGTCTGAGTGTGTCAACACTTCTCAGGGATCGCACATTCGTTTACTTTGCAAAGGCGTAAAGCTGAGAACAGATGCCCTGAGCGTCGTGGAGCCTCATGGGTCCTGAACCCTGGGTGCCGGGCCCGCTCGCAGCAGGTGTACCTTCAAGCCAAACCGACACCAGGATGAAGATCCAGGATGCCCCCGATGGCTCAAGTGTTGTTCACCCGGGAAAGGCCAAGCCGAGGGCAGCGCCTTGGAGCAGAGCCCTCCACGCGGGTCCAAATCCTGCCTCCATTTGCCACCAGGAGGTTGGCTGGGGAAGAGTTGGCCTTGCAGATGGGGAGGCAGCACAGTGACAGCTCACGTGACTGGACACTGGCTATGTGACTGTGTCCCTGGTGTTTGTGGTGATTCTATGAAAAGTCCCTGCGCTCAGAAACCCCTTTATGCCATTTTTCTAGTGGGGAAATTAAATTTTGCTTCCATTGTTTTTACTTTATGTTTTCCAGAGATGTCATAATTAAGCATTCCTTAAATCTTGATTTTCAGTCACTTGTGAGAAATCCCACTTTTCACGTTTTGAGCCCAACCCATCACTTTTCTACAACGATTAAAACTAAATCTTTTTCCTTGGTAGACCCTATTATTCATTCCCACTAACTTGAAAATGGTATGTTTGTTTAACATTGAGGCTGTCAGAACACAGCGCTTTATAAAGGCTCTCCTTGGTCCCGGGTCCCCGCCTGCAGTCAGGAGGCGGCCATTCCTCCTGGACAGAGTGTGGATGGAGGCGGCTGTTGTCACAGGCCTGAACTGTGGTTCTCCTATTACCAGCGCTGATGGTTTCAGGTTATTGGTGTGCTCTAGTGTGTGTGAGCTTGTGCTGTGTGTGTATGCACACGTTACAAACATACACTGTATACACGTAGTTCACACATGCATAAATCTGTATGTTATGTGTATAGTTCACACATGGATAGGTCTATGTGTGTTACACCGTTGTATGTTATGTGTCTTCGTGTGTTGCAGGTGCAGTGACACATGTACATGTGCTATATGTGCCTAGATACGTATACTTACATGTCACAAGCACATGTATGTGTTCGCTGTATTGTTTGCACGTCAGCCAAAACAATGTTTTGAGTATTTGCATAGAATGACCGCCATCACAGCAGGTTCTCTCCAGGAGGTTTTCCCGGATTGTGGCGTGAGGCTGGTGCTGCCCGGTACCTTTGTGTTACCGGGATCGGGCGTCCGCTGTCAAGGCTGTGGGACGTCTCCGCCTGCGAGGGCCCCTGGGGGAGGGGTGTGTGCGATTCTCCGCTTAGAAACTCCATCGAGTGTTCTGGTCCAGTGTGCGGATAGCGTCCCTGGGACCAAGTAACCTTCAGTGGCTGGTGATAAAGTGTGATGCGTCTGCTGGAGGTCACCGTGCTGTGTTCCCCGTGGTTCATCACTTACCAGAGTGACCGGTGCTGACACCTGCCCGAGGAAGAGGCCCTGTGAAAGGACGTGAGGCCCAGCATGGTCACTTGGACGTGCCTCCGTCCACGCGTCTGATGAGCGCGTGAACAGACGCCTCTGTCCGCCGTGGGGCTTTTGACTGTTGGTGTTGTGTTCCTCTCTGGAGCTTTGGGCAGATGTGTCAGCTCTTCAGGTAGAAGAAGTGGGGGGGTCGCTGGGGCACAGGCGACGCCACGTGTCGGCAGGGACTCCTCGTGAGGAAGTAGGGGGGAGCGCTTCCACGTGGCTCGGAGCAAACCAGTCCCTTCCTCCTGGTCCGTTGCTGGGCATTCTTCTCTCGCTCACCTGACGTCCACTTTCCGTCTGCAGTCAGCCCTGCCCCACGGGGCAGTTTGAGGCCTGAAGCTGCCTAGAGTGACTCCGAGGCCCTCTGCAACGTGAGCTCCTGCGAGGAGCCGTTAGCCCGCGCTCGCCTGGGTGGGTTCCTGGCCTCCCCTGGCAGCTGTCCCCGCCTCCCGGTTGCTCCAGCTCCAGCCGTGGCCCAGGAGCTCACAGCGTGCCACTGGGCCTCCTGCTCTGCCCTTCTCCTTTAAGTTCTCTGGTAGTACGGGCGTTTTATTATCTGCCTAAATCAGTTCCTTTGTTGCGGCGATTTCATGATATCCTAGTGTGTGACTGACTGTGATTTTTTTCGGCAATGGACCTCTGTAGCCCACCTACATCTTCTCTGTCTTTTGAAATATGGATTCTGGCAGTGAAGGGAACAGTGGGAACATGTGTGCTGTGGTCCCGGGTCTGGTGGCCCCGCCTGTGTCCCCTACCTGTGGACGCGGTCCCGGGTCTGGTGGCCCCGCCTGTGTCCTCTACCTGTGGACGCGGTCCTGGATCTCGTGGCCCCGCATGTGTCTGACCACAGAACCACGTTCTGTTCTTGCACTGAAACTGCAGAAGCTCCTTTGCAAATGCAAGTCAGCAGATGACGGGGACGCGCCGCGTGTGTGCATGCCGTGAGCATTTCACAGTAAGCATGCTTCTCTTTCAGAGGCCACAAGAGGAAGCTGAATGAAGGGGAAGCTGCCAGCGAGTCCAGTGGGGAGTCCAGCTGTGAGGACGAGGAGGGGAGCAGCTCGGAGGCAGACGAGATGGCCGCAGCGCTTGAGGCAGAACTCAACGACCTCATGTGATCTGCGGGCCACAGGGGCCAACACATGCATGTCCTTCCCTCCCTGCCCGTGCTGGCCTGCAGATGGGGTTTCCTTTTCTCCAGAAAAACATGTATATTTTGCAGAGCTCCACATACAGAAACACATTATTTTGCAGAAATAGGTGTTTTTAGAAGTTTTAGTACGGGAAAGTCTACTTTTTTAGGTGACGGGGTGTCCCGGGGAAGCGGTGTGCCATGCCAGAGATCCTTGTTGCACACAGCAGAGCCACGCAGCAAGACTGGGGTTGTGGTTTGGTGTCGTGTCGTACGGGGTTCTTTAGGGGGCGGGGTGTTTTTCCCTTGAAATCTCGCAGCATATTGGGGGGTGAGGACTGGGGGATCTGACAAGGCGTAAAGAATGGTGTAGCAGGAGCCTGGCGTCTTGTCTTGCCTGTTCACAGCTAAGGCCGCCAGAACGTGAAAGGATGTTTAAACGGGGCAGAGCTCTCACGTGTGTACAGAACCCTGAGAAGAGTGCAGACAGGCTTGGGGAGCCTGCAGAGGGCTCCTGGGGAGCACATGGCCTGCTTCTGAGCGACTCGGTGACAGCCACGTCCCTGGACCTGTGGTGACCTGGGTTTCCAGCATAGGGTCCACTCTGCACAGCCTGGACCATCTCCTCCCTCCCATGGGCATCACGACAGAAGGGGCACTGCCTTCCCCGAGCAGCCTTCTCCTCCTCTGAGAGATCTGGTGTAAAGTTTTGTATATCTATTTCATATTTGACCCACCAAACAGATTTTTCTTTCATTTAATAAAAGTCCTTTTTGTAAGCTCTCTTCTCTGGTGCGTTGTGGCAACAAGCAGGCCTGCCTCCATCCATCCTCAGCACCCAGCTCGTGTATTGGGCTTGGGAGGGTGAGCCGCTTGTGGAGCGTGAAGGAGCTCCACAGAGCACAGGAGGCACGTGTCAGAAGATTCCCCGGTGAATTAGCAGGACCTCGGAAGTTTAAACAGAAGAACGGATGATCTGACTTACTCTCTTAAGCCATTCCAGGGCTGCTCATCTTCTCGTTATTTGGGGGGGATTTTTCAGAGGCTTGCACCAAAGCATTAAAAATGCAAAGGATCAGTTATTTGTAATTATTAGATTTATGAAAATTAGATCTAAGACATCTAGGAAACAAGGCAGCTCTGATCCAAGGAGCTCAGTGCTATAAGTAGGAGGCCAGGGTCCGTCACACACGGTGCATCAGCCAAGCTGCTGAGTCGTGCGTTGTCCCCATCGCTGGGCTCCCTGGGCTGACCCACAGGCCTTGTGCGCTCGGGGCCCGTCAGACTTGACCCAGTGTGCGGTGGCCTCGGTCTTCACGTCCTGTTGTGCTCAGGTCTCTGGGCACTAGCCTTGGTCAGTGGCGCCCAGGGGGGGTGGGGAACAGTGGTGAAGTCACCTTCACGCCCCGTTTGAGACAGCCCCTTCACATCCTTCCTGTGTGAAGTCCAGGGTTCAGGATGTGTCCCTGCTACTGCAGTCAATGCCCCACTCTGTCCTGTGGAGAAGGAACACCAGGACTGAGACTCAGACGCACTGTGTTATTTAAACAGTGGTTTGAGGCATTAATTGAAGACTTCCTTGTTGAATTTCTGTAAAAATTTAAAGGTGTACCTTCTACTTCAACTCGAGGTCAGCACAACCTCTTTGTTTCTATTTTCTGGGTTAATTACCAAATTAAAAGTGAAGTTTTAGGCTGAGGCTATGGACTATTCATACTCTTTCCAGTTATAAGCAACAGAGTCACAGCTCCACTGGGCTTATCTTCCCATATTGACTGACTTGTCTGAGAGGTTGTAGACAGAGCTTCAGGTACAGCTGGATCCAGGTGTTCACCAGATGCTCAGGCGTCACTGGGAACCTGAATCATCCTCCCACAGTTTGGCCTTTTTTTTTGCTGTCTGCACTCTTGGTAGGCCTTCTGCTCATCATGGCGTGATGTACAAATTCCATCCACACTCCTGATGACGTGGATGGTGTGGGGGGTGGGGGGGATGTAGGGGACAGGTGTGGGCAGGCAGATGTCCAAGAACCAAAGCACAGTCCTTGCCTGGTTCTCCTCACCAAGGTGAGTGTCTGTAGGTACAATGATTTTCCACTCCCTACGATGACAATAAAAATCTCTAAGATTTCCAGTCAAAATCTTTCCTGTGGTACAGAAAAGGGGAAAACCCTCTTTTTGATGGGTCTGTGTTAGCACAGAAATGGAGACAATAGAATTGTGAATCTGAATAATGTCACGATTTCCTCTTTAAACACAAAACAGCCTCTTAGGCCGGTATTTCTGAGAAGATTCAGTATTAAACGTCTTGCAGTATTGTTCTCTCGGTAGGAAGAGTTTATTTGGGATCTAACCTGGTGGGAACCAGCCCTGTGCTGTCGTTAGCTGTCACGTCTGTGAGACGGTGCTGCTCATGTGCCCTCCTGCCTTTTGTGTCTGTGGCAGGTGGGGCCCCACCCCGTGGTCAGCATCCTCTACTCCTGCTGGACCTTCCTCTGGCCACGGCGCCCGGGAGGCTGGTGACAGAAGCCGTCCGCATCTCAGCGTGCAGCCTGGCAGGCTGGCGGCTCAGGTTGCCCGTGGTGGGCTTGGCCTTTTCCTGTGGGGTCCCTGGAGGGAGACGGGTGAGGAGGCTCCTCACTGCTCAGAGGCCCGTGTCCCCAGGGCTCCATCAGGTCACGGCAAAGCGACGGCAATAGAACTTGAGGAAAGACTGACCCCAGGACCTGGTCTCCCAGTGAAGACAGGACGATGCCCTTGGAAGCCCAGAGGCTGCCTGGAGCTGCCGTCTGCAGACGGACTGTGCTTTCCAGCGCCGCCCTGTGAGCGGCTCCTGCCAGCCCAGGCTGAATGTGAGGTGAATTGAGCAGGAAAACACAGATAGATTCACAAATTGATACCCCAAAGGAAGCAGCACTCTCCTCCAGTTTGGTTGACCGAGACATAAAATATGCCAGGGGTCGTGACTGGTGCGCTGGGAGGGGAGGAAGGGGTCGAGGACTCGACTCTCAGGCACATCCTGGGAGCAAACGTCAGCAGAGGGGCAGGGGTCTGGACGTTGGCCTGGGCCAGCTCTGGACTGTCACTTCAGACACAGGTGACAGCTTGGCTCGCACCGTGTCTGCTCTGACTTCATAGAAGGTTCAGCTGTACTCTAGGGGCTCTTAAACCTAAAGAGCCAATACAGATGGGGAGACCTGGGTGCAGCCACCACGCAGCCACCATGGGGGTCTCTGGCCAGGCCCCCGGCCCCTCAGTGTCCACCTGCCTCCTCATCTGGCCACTGGTGTTTTTGTCAATGGTAACAACGCATTTGTGCCCCAAATGAGCAAAACACGCCTTTCAACCCAGAGGACTCAACCTTCCTCCACCCGCCCCCACCCACCTCCCTAGGAACGTGAGGGACAGGGCAGCTGTCGGGGGAGCGAGGGGCCCCGGGGCGGTGGGGGCAGCGGCTCTCCCCTGCCCTCTCCTTCCTCGATTAAAGCACACACGTCTGGGGTGGGTCCTGACACCAGAGCAAACCAGATAGTTGCTTAAAATGCAGCTTTTCCAGAGTCGGGGCCAGTGCCGTGGGAGAGTAGGCTTGGGGCCCCATCGCATCCTCGAGCCCTCCAAAGAGGTGGTCACACCACCCTCAGGAGGGGCTGCCTGGGCGGGACCCACAGCCTTGATGTTGGTGCAGAGAAGTGTTTACTGTGCACTCGGGTCAGAGAAAAGACCAGCACTGAGTAATTTGTGCAACTGTTCCAAATGACATCTTTTAAAGAAATTGTAATAAGAAACCATAACCCTAACCCTATTTAATAGGAAACCCTAACCCTAACCCTAACCGGATGTCCTGAACATTTAAACGTCAGGTTTTATGCTTAAAATGGCTGTAAGGAATTTGTGATCAAGAATTTGGAGAGAGAACACCTTAAGTCCACAAGAAAGCTTTGCACAAGTAGATGATAAATTTTAGGCCGTTTATTTACAAACATTCAAAAATCTGTAATAATGGAAATTTAATGAAGTTTGCCTAACTTCCTTGAGAAATGGAATGTTGACATTTTGGGTAAACATGAGTGGATCTCATGTCCCATCTGAGTTTTTCACGTTAAGGTTTCAAACAACGGTGAAGCTCTGCCGTGGGGGCAAACCTGCTGTTAGCGCGGAGGCCCTGCTGTGGTGCCCATGTGCACGGCCAGCCAGGTCCTACCCAGTCTGCACCGATCCACCATGGGAACCTGGAGTCGGGGCCAGAGGGCTGCTGAGGGGTCCGGCGGGGACCCCAACACGCCCAATCCCCTGTGCTCTCTGGACGACCCGAAAAGCCAGGGTAGGCTCTGGCCTGGAGAGCCTAGGGGACATTTTCACTGAATGCACCAAAAATCACCCAGTTGTATGCCAGAAGGGCCAGCGTCACGGTATGTGAATTGTATCTCAATAAAGCTGTTTTTTTTTTTTTTTTTTCCCCAAAGCCCCAGCAGATAGTTGCATGCCACAGCTGCACATCCTTCTAGCTGCTGCATGTGGGATGCGGCCCCAGCATGGCTGGAGAAGCAGCGCATCGGTGCGCGCCCAGGACCCGAACCCGGGCCGCCAGCAGCGGAGCGCGCGCACTCAACCGCTAAGCCACGGGGCGGCCCCAAAAGCTGTTATTTTTTAAATGAGATTTAATCCAGCAGTCCAGCGCTTGACTGCTGTGTGCCGCCCTGTGCGTGCGTGTGGGCACACGTGCACGCTCATGTTCAGGGGTACAGCCTGGGTTTTAAATAAAGCTTTTCCACTTTGAAAGGGCCACCCGGGTAGAAACCTTCCAAGTTCAGAAAAGGAGACAGAAGAAGACAGCTCGTCCCCACCCAGAGCTGACCATCACGTCCGGCATCCGCTGTACTGTCCTGCAATCATTTGTCATTTAAAAATTGATCTAGGGGGCCGGCCCCATGGCATAGCGGTTAAGTGCGCACTCTCCACTGCTGGCAGTCTGGGTTCGGATCCCGGGCGCACATCGACGCACCGCTTGTCAGGCCATGCTATGGCGGCGTCCCACATAAAGTGGAGGAAGTCTGGCGCGAATGTTAACTCCGGGCCAATGTTCCTCAGCAAAAAGAGGAGGATTGGCATGGATGTTAGCTCAGGGCTGATCTTCCTCACAAAAAAAAAAAAAAAAAAAATTAACGACATTTTGACATGTCAAATGTCAAAGACGAAGGAGAAAAGTGCTGTAATCCTGCCACCAAATGGAACCATGGTAACGTCTCAGTGTGTCGTTTGGGTCTTTTAT